TTGGAGATGGCTAATAGATCTTGAACCACGTATGGTAGGCACAGTACAAATCTAAAAAAAACCCAGATGTAAACCCAAAGCGCTTAAATATTATGATGTAGTACATATGGCAGGTATCTTTACAGACAGATGGGTGCAAATTTACTAGTAAACAAAATATTACTGTTTTTAGATTAATAGGCTTTAGTTCCAACACGACTGCTGCTTCTATGAGCATTAAAGAAAAGGAGAGTTCTAATGGTGTCATAAAAGAAATAACAGAAATGTGTGCAGCTACAAAGACAACAGCAGGAAAATATTACTTTCCAGTGCAGTAAGAATTGCTTACTTAGTAGTAAGAATTGCTTTATTGTCACTGCTTACCCTTTCAGAGGGGGAGTGACATCTTGATAAGGAATGGAAAATCAGAGGCAAGAAGAAAAAAGGTCATAAAATGAGCCTCAAAAAAAGAGGTGCAGATCTTGTCTGTGGTAAAGAAAGAGAAGGAGACACAGTAAAAACAGAAGACGCTTATTCCATAATTTAGTTACCTAGTCAACATGTCTAGTAGCAAACAGTCTCAGGTAATATATTGCAATTGGTATTTTGCAAATTACATTGCAATCAAGATTAAAAGAATAAGAGACCTAAAGGAATAAAACCTATGGAAATTTGAAAACTAAAGGTATTGTCTTTTTTTAGAGTGCTAGTGAACAAAAAACAGAAATGGAAAAAATAAAACACCGGATAGCAGAAGAGGCTGCAGAAATAGAAGAGAGAAAAAGAAAAATTGAAGCGGAACTAAAAGAGGTTCAGGTAAGTCCTGCCATGCAAAATATTTCTGAAAAATGTATTCCTGCATTTATTAAATCTTGCTTTAAATTATTTTGTTATTAAAACTTTTATGCATTAAAAAACAGTATTTTGTTTACCAGATGGAGATTTTCATTTTGATATTTGTGTTCTATTAAACATTAATCACAGAATGAATTTTCAGGCCAAATCTTACCTCCAGTTTCTATTTCTGGATTGCTGTGGTCTACAGCTGAGCTCTGCGGATTTTTGGGAATGTTTTTCAATTACTAATATCTTATATAGACCAACTACATTACTCTGCCTTGATCAAGCTGGTTCTATCAGCTAAATGCAAATAGTTTAAAGAGCAGTAATTTACACTTATTACTGAATTCTGAAAATTATGTATCCTAACATTGCTAATACCAAGCTGCTTGTTCCAGAGACCTCACAGCCATTAAGCATTAGGTTTTTTGGGAGGTATGTGTATTCAGTCATTGCTTTTAGTCTTTATTTTTAATCCCATCCATTTTAAAATTTTATTAAACAATAAGGGAGAAGTACAGCAACTTAATTTTTGTCCTTTTAAATATCATAGATGCCAAGGAATTATTTCCTTGTATTGAAAGAGACATAGAACTGCAGGATTAGGGTAAATACGTTTCTGTGGTCTTTGATAAATATGAAGGATTTGCAAGGTGTGCACAGTGTTTAATGATAAACTTTAATTTTCTTCTGTCTTCTTATAATTTTGTTGCTTTGTTGATAAGGGCAAAGGCTGTCTGGATTTGTTTTGCTACTGAAGACAAAAACTTTTGTGACCTGTACTTCTGCATATCTTTAGAAAGATACCGTCAGGCATACCTACGGATACTAATTGGCATCATAATTAAAACATATCTTTATCACAATGAACTTTCAAGCAATGAAAGAGCAAACAAACATGATTGATATTAATATCTGTATGATGTTTATGAATTACTGTGCTGAATGAAAAGTGAAAGAAGGTCAGGTGTATAATATGCTGGGGTTTATGGAAATACATTTATAATTACATAAAGACACATGGCAATTTTTAAATAGCTTTGTGAACATGAATATGCATCAATGGTGGTTGGTTAGGTAATAAAATATATAAAAAGAACAAGAAATTGTATGAAAACTGAAATGGCAAATGTTCTGCTTCTTATATCCTCATTTCTTTTTAAATGTATTTTTATGTTTTAAGCCACTGGTTAATGAAGCTAAATTAGCAGTTGGAAATATAAAACCAGAGTCTTTGTCAGAAATCCGGTCACTACGGATGCCCCCTGACATAATCAGAGACATACTAGAAGGAGTTTTACGGTTGATGGGAATTTTTGATACATCGTGGGTGAGCATGAAGAGGTAAGGATATTATTTAAGCTTTAAACTTAATCAGTAATTTGCAATATGAAAATCTTTCTATTATATTCAGGAATAACATGTGCAGAATTTTTTTGTCATATACAGAAATAACTGCTTTAACATTGTTTCTTCTTTACTAAGTTATTTAATTCTTTTTACAGTTTCTTGGCTAAAAGAGGAGTGAGGGAGGACATAGCAACCTTTGATGCTCGTAATATTCCAAAAGAAATAAGAGAGAGTGTTGAAGAACTTCTTTCTAAGAACGGAACATCTTTTGATCCAAAGGTAATTCCTGATTGCACTATATAAAATGAAAAAGATGAAAAAAAGAAAAAAAAAAGACACTATTGTCTGATTTTCCAACATAATTTTTGGAATGAACTTAAATTGGAGAAAAAGTGATGAATTCTGCTTAGAAATTGTCAGTCTAAAGAGATAAAATTGTAGCAGAGATTACTCTGTTGCACATTGCCTCCTTTACTAATGAGCAGTGGGATGAGAAGTCAGGTCCTCAGAGATTTTTGTCACTGGTACAAATTAGAACTCAGATCAAGGAATTGTAACTGTGTACTTCTGGCTCACTTGTAATAGTAAGAGTTTTAACAGTACACTTAATTAATAAAAAGGACTAATGATGATTAGTGTATGGGTGATCTTTGAGAATTGATTTGGTAGTAGATATAAAAAGGAATTCTTAAATACTAGTTTTGTATTTTTAAAAGGAAAGTTGTAGTTCCTTGAGAAGGAGCACACTAATAAATGGTGCATTAATTTAAAACTGACTAACTTCAGTGAAGCTTCACAGCTGTAAAGACACCAATTATTTTGTTACACAGATTGATGGCCTAAAATACAATCTCTTAGTAACAATTTAAAAGATTAGTTCATTAGAGGAACTGACTAACTGGCATCTTTAAATTAATAACTTGTAAATCTGTTGCAGTTATTTATGCTGTATTTACCTCATCTGCATTACATTTCAAGGACTTTTCTTGTAACTGTTATAAATTTTTTCAGAATGCTAAACGAGCCAGTGCTGCAGCTGCTCCATTAGCAGCTTGGGTCAATGCCAATGTCCAGTATTCCCATGTCCTAGAACGAATTCAGCCTTTGGAAAAAGAAAAGGCTGGCTTGGAAGCGTAAGTTAGACACTGTTACAAAGTAAATGCTCTTAATTCCAATAGTGGTGGGTGAAACCAAAACTGCCAAGGAGTAGTTGAAGTTTATTTAAAAAAAAATTAAAAAAAAAAGAAACTGCCCCATCTATAGGTAATAAAACCTCCATGCTGAGACACGAAAAGTAAGCGTGCGCTATTTGGTTTTCCCTGGCAGCTATGCCTTGGATCTTTTTTGTCCAATCACAAGTTACCTGTCTCAGCTGAAATGTGTCAGGGGGAAATGAAGATCACATGTAAGTTTAAAATGTATTGTGTCAGTGGAATCCATTATTTTATGAGATGCCTACTTCCACTTTTTTCAGTCACATTCTAAGCATACTTAGTTTCTTCTTAGGATCAAAAATGTATGTTGTTTTATGAATATCCATAACCTGAGGAATCTATACTGGTGGTTTTGCTAGGTCTTAAAATTCCTTAATGGAAGCATTTGTTCTTATCTTTAAGAATACATTTGAATGGGTTGTTTGGTTTCCATTTTTGAAGCTATATGATGAGATTATGTCAAAACTTTTGCATGTGAAAACAGATTTTTGTTAATATAAATCACAAGAAAGAACTGTCTCTGAACTCTGTCTATGTAAATTGCTTTCCTGTTACATTTGCTGTCCGTAGTCTTAAAATAAATGTTAATTTTTGTAGTAATCTCAAGAAAACTGAAGACAGAAAACAGAAGTTAGAAAATCTTTTGAACTCAGTTGGTCAAAAAGTATCGGAACTGAAAGATAAGTAAGTCAGACTTGTTTATTTTAAGATATTAATAAAAACATTAACAAATTTACAGTATGAATAATGAAATTTATCTAACCAAATGTATTTCCCAGCTCTGAATTTACATCAGAAGTAGCAATAATTAGGCTTTCTGGACACTCAGTGGAGATGACTGCTGTGAGAATAGAGTTCATCTCATCTATCAGATGAACTGCTCCTTAAAAGTACCTGTTTCTTATCACTGACTGTGTTGGAAGCCTTCAGTATAGACACTGCAGATGTCAAAGATAAGCAGGATGTATCTCACTTTTAAATATGAGGTGACTTTAATGTCTCCTTTGGACTTTTGAAACATTCCTGTACAAGACTTTCAGTGATCACAGCTTGAATAAAGGCAGTTCTATTTCTTTTAGGGTGGCCTACTTTCCTGACAGTTAGCTAGTTAGCTGCCTCCTTTTAACTTAGCATCTCAAGTACATTACTTACAGTGCCATAAAAATTGCTGTGGTGAACTTCTATACTTTCTCCAAATTCAGTACAGTACAAGTTTGATGTTTCTCTTATGTAGTTAATATAGGTTACTGTATTACTCTACAACCTGACCTGACATTTGTACGTATTGCTAAATGTCATGTTTTGTAGGGTGCAAAAAAAATAAATTGTCAAATCCTGCTTTTCATTCAGTTATATAGTGATGTCTTAGATTAACTAGATACTGTATATTACAGTTAAATATATTATCTTTAAAAAGGTGAATTATTTTATTTTATTAGTTATTTTAATTAAATATTAATTTAGCTGATTAGGCATTAAACATTACAAAACAATACCTAAACCTTGACTGTTCTTTTGGGCATGTTCTTACTTAGTGGTAGTTTACAAGATAGAGTAGTGTACATTGTACTGGGGTCATCCATGTGCATTAGTGATGTTCTCCTTTAAAGGTTTCATAGATTAAATTTACCAAAAAGTTACAAACCTGCAGTATGCCATTGAGACTGCTATTGCCGTGACTAGGTGCAGGACAAAACACAGTCACTAAAATCAAGTCAGGCTGTTTGAGTAGAAGAAGGAATGATTTTGAAACATTATAGTCTTTAATGCAAATGTATTTTTAAATCTTACCTGTGCACCTGTCTAAATTTTGTTAGTTAAAAGTCTTAACAGCTCATCTGCCAATTAGAAGCAGAATCATAGAATAGTTAGGGTTGGAAAGGACCTTAAGAAAGACTTGTAGGGGGGAACGAATTACAAATTCAGGCAATTAAACTGCCTTGAAAATAACTGTGTAAAAATTTAGTAGTTCATGATAGCAATTACAAACAGTAGTTTTTTTACAGGTTCCAGAGTAGAACAACAGAAGCGGCAAAACTTGAAGCAGAACTAAGTAAAGCTCATCAAACATTGAAGGCTGCAGAGGTACTGATAAATCAGCTGGATAGGGAACACAAAAGATGGAGCACTCAGGTTAGTGAAAATTTTTGTAAGTATATCTTATAGCTGTGTCGTGGTTTAAGCCCAGCTGGTAACTCAAAACCATGCAGCTGCTTGCTCACTCCCCCTACTTCTTCCTCCCCCTGCTCCCAGAGGGATGGGGAGGAGAATTGGAGGAATGTAACTCCCACGGATTGAGATAACAGCACTCCAGTAACTAAGGTATAATACAAAACCACTAGTGCTACTACCACTGATAATAATAATGATAAGGGAAATAAGCTGGTAATTTGAAAATTAAGGTTTTGCACTGTTTGGAGAATGTGAGTTATTGGCATTCTGCATGTCTCCTAAGTACATTTTTTTAAATTTCTCATTAGAAATAAAAGCTTTTCTTCCTTCTGAAGCTTCTTTGCACACACAGGCCCTCTTTCAGTCTGAAACAAAAAGGAAAATTTGAAGATATATACAAGCTGAAAATAGCTGTCATCTCTAAAAAGTAATGCCAGGCTTTCTTGGTTATCTAAAGCTGGAAAAAGTCTCCCTGCCAAGAGACATGGTCCTGTCTCTCAACTGATGCTGAAAAATGCCTAAACAATTAGACTAAGTGTCTGCATTTTGAACCAAAGTTAAGGTTTGATGAATCCTTTCTGTAGGTTGACTAGCATAATGGAAAAAAAAAAGAAGATTTTCCCGTGAAAGTGGCTTTACAGCTATTCCATCTTCTATAGTAAGGATTGGGTGTATTTGAACCCCAGATTTTAAACGTTCCTAAAATTGATTGCTCACATTTTTTCACCCTGGTACATCACCCCTGTCTTTAGAAATAGACTATCTATTAATGGTATGCACTGTATTTTTCTCCAAAATACTGAAACATTTCAAAGCAGAGGTAATGCAGTGCAGATAAATTATTTGAAGATAGAGGATAAATTTATTTTATCATGTAAGTCTTCAGTGAGTCACATTTTTAAGTGTAATGCATACATATAGTATTTAGTATTTGTAAATGGTACTCAGTAGCTGATTTATTACTATAATACTATTTACCCAGTTGCTTGTAAGTGAAAAGGTGAACTGTTCATCAAATTGATAGATTTTTAGTAGCTAAATTCTCAGAATCATCTGTCCATGCTCTAGTCCAGAGCTAAAAAGAGCTTTTCCCATACTTTCATGTGTGTGTAGCTGTGAGTTAGCTACGTATAAATACTTGAAATACAAAAGATAGCGACTGTGTCAATTGTATTCTCATGGAAGGAAAAATTAATTCTGACTTTCTAGTAACTGATGAGAAATATTAACTTAGTTTTTGTTTGTAATACACCTATATATTCTGTCATTTTTTTTAAGGTGTCAGAGATAACAGATGAACTGGCTATGTTGCCTAAAAGAGCTCAGTTAGCAGCTGCATTTATTACATACCTTTCTGCTGCTCCTGAGGATCAGAGGAAAACCAGCTTGGATGAATGGACCAAATCAGCAGGCCTTGAAAGTAATTTTGTGTCTGTGTGTCTGTGTGTCTTTGTGTAAGTAGTTAAGCTTGACTGAGAAATGACAGTGAGTTCTAATGGACAGTCTCCTCAATTGTCTTGGTGTTCCAAATGAACAGTGACGTTCTCTTACTCAGTAAGTACTTGTATATACAGACTATTTCTTAGGATAAATCTAGGAATTATTAAGATTATAAATACTTTCAAATTCTTAAGATTTAGCTCCATAGTCCATGTTTAAAAAGAAAAGTTTACATAAATGAATGTATTCACACTAACTGTTGTAAGTTTCCCACTGCATTCTGAATGCTTCTGCTTTTTCACTTGTTTTTGCAAGTGCATGTTAATAACACCATTAAATATTTTTATAACACCAGCTGGTTAATAGTACTAAGTTCAAGCCATAAAATAATAAATTAAGGGAAATCTACAGACTTGCACTGTGTTAGACAGCATTTTTGCTGTATATAGAGTGGTAAATGCTTAAAAATTATGCAGACTACAATATTAGCAAAAACTTACACTTTTTTGTTTATCAATCAGAGTTCAATTTACGGCGTTTCCTGTGTACAGAAAGTGAGGAGTTAGTCTGGAAGAGTGAAGGTTTACCTTCAGATGACCTTTCAATAGAAAATGCTCTTGTCATTTTGCAGGTAAATTTGGTGGGATTTTTTGTCATATCTTGGAAGAATTTCAATTTTTACGAATTTCAATTTTTACAAATTTCAATAACATGGCATCTTTCTGGAATTTTGAACTATTTCATTTGTGTTATTTTATTAGCATCACAGAACACACACAGAGAAACTAATACTTACGTAACTCTGGGTTTTCTGTAGCAAAAAGAAAAAAACAGTTAAAGAAAACACGTATTTTTCATTTTTGCTTTTATAATTTTCTTCCAGATGTCAAAAAGACAAAACCTGGTATCAGTCTATTCAGGCTTAAAGAGTGAATATTTATTAAAACCAACACAGACAGTGGAAGAGTATATTGTATGTTCACTTCAACATATGATTTCTAATATTTTTTCTCAGAAAAAGGAAAAAGATATTTGCAGATATATTTCACAACAACTAGATTTTAAACCCTTAGATAGCATCAGATGAACTCCGTGATACAGGATGCAAAATGACATTCACTTAAGGCCAGTAACTAATAATACCTGAGAGAATAATGATAATTCTGTACTTATAAGCATGTTTCATTTTCTTCATATAGTTATATATAGATATATAAAATATATTATAAATATTCATATGCAGTTGCACA